GTCAATTTAGAAAGTTTATTTTGCCAAGGTTAGGGACACACCCGTGATACAGCCTCAGGTGGCCGGGGTGCACCTTGCTTTTTTTTGTTTTGTTTTGTTTTGTTTTTTTGGGTACAGCTTGCTTTTGTACACATTAGGGAGACATAGTACATCAATCAGTACATGTAAGGTTTACATTTGTTCAATGTGGAAGGGCGGGACAACTTGAAGTGGGGGGCGTGACTTCCATTCCAGGTCATAGGTAGATTTAAACATATTCTGATTGGCAATTGGTTGAAAGAGCTATTATCAGCAGAAGGGAATGTCTGGGTTAAGATAAGGGCTTGTGGAGACCAAAGTTTTATCATGCAGATGAAGCCTCCAGGAACAGGCTTCCTAGAAAATAGATTGTACATGTTTCTGATCAGACTTAAGGTCTTTGTTAATGGTAATGCTGAATGGGGTATTAATGAGGCATGTCCAGCCCCCACTTCCCGTCATGGCCTGAACCAGTCTTTCAGGTTAAATTTTAGAGTGCTCTGGCCAAGGAGGGAGTCCATTGAGATGGCTGTGGATTGGTGGTGGTGGGAGGCTTCAAATTTTATTTTTGGTTTACACTAGCCACATATAGTTACTTAGATTTAAATTTATGAAAATTCAACAAAATTTAAAATTCAGGCCAGGTGTGGTGGTTCATGGCTGTAATCCCAACATTTTGGGAGGCCAAGGTGGGAGGATTGTTTGAGCCCAGGGGTTCAAGACCAATCTGGGCAACAAAGCGAGACTCCTGTCTCTTACTGGTGGAAGGTATCTGAGTTATTGGCAATGAATCTGCATGCATTTGCAGCAACCTCAATTCTTGCCTCCTCAGAAGAAAGAATTTGACTGAGGGGCATAAAGCAGACAAAGAGACTGAGGCAGGTTTCAGAGCATGAGTGGAAGTTTATTAAAAAGCTTTAGAGCAGGAAAGAATGGAAAGTACACTTGGAAGAGTCCCAAGTGTGCAACTTGAAGGACAAGTGCAGTGTTTAACCTTGGCCACCTCCAGCGTCGCGTGCCTCTCTCCCCTGATTCTTCCCTTATGGTGAGCTGACCACATGTGCAGTGTCCTCCTTACCCTTGGGTAGTGAGCACACGCAGTGTGTTTAGGAAGTTGTACGCATGCCCGTCTGAGACTTTCTTCCCTTTTCCAGTGGAGTGCACCCACAGAAATTCATACTCCTCCATTTTTTCTCTTAATGTGCGTTCCCGGGCTCACTCACCCAACACCTGAGATTTTACTGGAAGCCCTTTTTGCTTCTCTCTGGCCCCTGCATTCAGTGAACACTTTAATGTTAACAGCTATGGACCATTAGGAGATTGTCTCTCCCTGGAGCCTAGCTGCCAAACTGTCATTTTTGGAGAGGCAATGTGATAACTGTTGAACCATCACCTGACATTCCTGGTGGGAGGGGGAGAGCCCTCTCCTACCCCGCTCATGCCTGTCTAACTACCTGTAACATCTCTACAAAAATAGAAAAATTAGCTGGGCATGGTGGTGTATGCCTGTGGTCCCAGTTACGTGGGAGGCTGAGGCAGGAGGATTGC